CAGCTAGTGGCTTCTTCAGACCAATACAGAGAAGAATGGGAAAGATGAGAGAGGTTTGAAGTAATCAGTCCCTCAACCAGGAGTCGATGTAATAAGTCCATCATCATTGATGGACTGATCACATGATTCCAGCAAGGAACTCAAACTTAATCAAATCTGTCAAGAAACTATAAAGTGTCGAGGTTTGCAACGAGACTAGTCCCAGAGTTAAAAAGAATGATCTAAGAAGAGAGACCAAGGAAAGTAAATCTGATGAAATTAAAAAAAGAGAAGACTCGGGGGGCGACACGATAACGATATTCAAAATACTGAGAGGAACTGCTAGGATGGACAGGGATAAACTGCCAAAGAGGAGGTAAACAGGTACCTGATAGCACAGCTGGTAGTTAAAAAAAGTCACATAGATCTTAAGGAATATTTCTTCAGTCTCAGTGGTCAGGAACTGAAACGACCTTGACAACGAAGTGGTAGAGTCAGGCCCAAGAGCTGAGACTCGACCTCCACAACCACAATTAGCAAGCACAAACAGATGACTATTCATGCAATTTTATCTATCTTTCTCTCTCTCCCCTTCCCTCCCTCTCTCTACACTATTCCGGATCTTCTCTACACAACCACATAAACAGACGTCATATTTCAGCTGATATCAGACTCTTAACAAAGGCAATAAATACTTCTCCCTTACTTACCCTCTTGCTCCTCCCTCTTCTTTACCTCTCGCTCTCTCCCTTGGCGATAAAATGTATATGAAACTCCTGGACCTCCAACACTCCCCCCCCCCTCCTTCCCTCGCTCTTGCGAATACCTCGAAACTATTGTCATTTTTCTACTATTAAAGACATACAAGAAAAACATAGTTTAACAAATAACAATACAAAAATAAACACAAACAAAAACCATTGGGCCAAAATATCACTCCTGAATATTAAAAACCCAAAGTTAAAACCCGACGAACACAAAAGTCCAGGTCAAAATATACGAGTAAATAGAATACCAGGCAGAGACTCGAACCGTGGTCCTTGTATAGCCCCCTGACTATTTCCTGAGAGTCGTTCAATACATCTTATCTTGTGTTTGAGTAAAAGATAGATTTTTTCTAGATTTTGCCACCGAAGTGGCTAGTTTTTTGTGCACCCCATATCCATCCTATGGACGGTAGCGCAAGAGCATCTGAATACACAAAAGGCCCCAAAAAGGGTTAACAGGTGTATATTTGGATTTGTATCTTTAGTTCACTTATCTGTTACAAGCAAATTTAGGAAATCTGCTTAGTATATCTGGTATTTTATTTTCATTAATAAGATATCTTGACATGTCACATAGGTTATTATACTGTCTACCTCTATATTTCTCAATAAGTGGACAATTAAGCACAGTGTTCAAGACTGTGACCATATGCCTGGCCACATAATTTGCATTTGGTTTGATCATCATCTGTGTGTCTCCCAAACTGCCAAAAGTACTTGTAACTAAGCCTAAGCCTGGCCACTACAACATCAGTCACTTTGTTCACATTGCAAGTTGCTCCATAAACATACTTATCTACGTTCATGTTATCATAGTGGGTTATAGATCTACTCAGGCTTCTAAGTGCATTCCTATAACAATCATTTTCGTTATTTACTTCTCTCCTAATATTATTCCTAATGCTAGACACAGTTATACCAAAGTTATATTCTACATTCTCCTTCTGGGTACTCTTCTTGGCTAACATATCAACTTTATCATGAAGGAGTAATCCAATGTGTGATGGGATCCATAATAATTGTACATTAATTACTTTTTCCCCGGAGTTTTGAGAATCTATACCTGGCTTCTCCAAGGAGCGTGTTGTTGGAGTCATTATGTGAGTCACGAGCCTTCAGTGATGACACAGAATCAGTAATGATTATAGAGTCAAGCTCAGTGTCATAAGTTAGCTTTAGCGCCACTAGGATTGCAAACAATTCATTTTGCAATTTAGACGCCCAGTTGTTAATTCTTATGCCAAACTCATTTTTTTTATCGTTCTTAACTAGGGAGGTGGCAACAAGAGCAGATGCAGCCCTGCCAGAAGACTCCTGTTTAGATCCATCAGTGTATATAACTTGTGATAACTTATTACTACCAGCTAGGCGAGAAATTTCTTCGTGAGCAGTTGCTATAATGTTGAAAAAGCCATTTTTTATGGATTCTCTTAGAACTGTTTAATTTCGATTGCACTACTGTTAAACCATACCACTGGCGGGGATAGAGCCCGCGATCAGAGAGTCTCAAAACTCCAGACCGTCGCGTTAGCCACTGGACCAACTAGCCACAATAAGATTCGTCCAACTAGGTATATTTCTACACCATAGGACGGTTAGCATAGGCACCACTGTGACCACAAATGCAAGTTTTTACAGACGAATCTCCAGCTAGCGTGGCCGTGACGAACTCTAGCTCAAGTCCCCTCAAAGTCGTTAACTTGACTTGCATTTGTGGTCACAGTGGTGTACATGAAAGGAGTGGGAGTGAGAGTTGCCACAGACGGCTGCAGCCTCTCATCTGCAGCAGCTACTAAGTAAGGAGACAGTGATAATATTGATACTTGGAGAGTCCGTCCAGGTGTGCCATCACGCACCACTAGTCTCCTCAAATTACATCTTGCACACAAGTCACTCCAACACCAAGTCAACACGCCAGCCTCTCACTCCCGTCATGCACCATCATTTTCTTGCAAAGTCCTAGTCACTTCAGCACCAAGTCAAATTCTCCAGCCTCTCCCTTCCATCATGTATGATCGTTCTCTACGCCATGTTTCGGCATTTTGCGTTATCTGCTACTTCAGATAAGACCAGACAGCATAAGTTTTTTTAATGCGCGTAACGAACAAATGAACGGAAAGGAGGGACCCATTGAAAGGGGAAAAGGAAATTAATAAGTTTAGCGAGAGGAATTATTTTAGATAGGTGAAGTACCAAGGTATGACCCACCAAGTAGCTGATTTGAGAGTGTTTTAAAACAACGTTGTGGTTGAGCAGCAACATGGTTTAGGTTGGTGGTGCAGGGCAGCAAGGACGATTATCAAACACTCCTTAGAGTATCTGCGAGCTAAATAACAGAAATTTCTCACGTTATGCATTATCTTCCTTCTCGTCCTTCCTGAATCTTTCACCGTTCTAATCTTCATACCCGACATCCCTAGCGTCTTCTCCAACTAGCCTCTTCACAGTTATTACCCTTCCATTAATTTTTAAAGCTTTACATTTTACATCATTGCTAGCATCACGAAGCGAAGTAATAGAGAATTTGGCTCAATCGAAAAGCCCCCATCCCCCCGTGCTCGAATCCCGGGTAATTTAGAGATTTATCAGATTAGACAAATAAATGAGTAGGAGTGGTTGGGTGTGAGTAGATCTTGCCTAACATGGAACAGCAGGCATACTGCAGTGCTTTTCTGTTTTATTACATTTTACCTGGAAAAATATGAACAAGGCACATGATTTCTCATGAGCTGGTTAGATGACTCGTCTTCAGTTACCTGAAAGATAACCTCAATATCCGACATCACTGATGAGGTATCCTAGAACTTTAAATCAATACAGTACACAAAGGTTTCCAAGAAAGCCACTTGGGAGCCTCTCAGTTTTAGAACGAGAATTAAGAACTTACATATTGGCTAAATAAATCAATCTATCAAAACTCAATTATGAAACCCTTACTCGAGCCTCTGTTTAAAAGGCTAGCAAGCTAGAGGGGTATATCATCCTTCTTGCAGAATGCATAATCATTAAAATTTTGAAGTCAGTCATAAAAAGCATTCTTCAGATATTGAATATAAATATCACTTTTAAATAAACTTGGGAAACTGGGGCACATGCCACCCAATAACAGCATGAACCTTGCGTTCACTGAATAACACCAGTGGTGAAAATCTGAAGCCCGGTCAGATGAATCTTTCTTCATTTATGACAAGGATTCCGATGGTTCCAAGCTTGATAATTATTTTACTATAACAAATTCGCCTGTATGTAAACAAGATTTAATGTGCGTTATGCCGGTCTTAAAATGCATCACCCATTGAATATTGAATCTCATGAGGTGGTAAACTAAAATTTATTGAACATAATTTAACAGGAATAAAAAAATCCACATTATTTGACACATAAAATGGTCAAATCTGCTCCTACACGCCTGAATTTCACTCTCCACCGTCGTCGAATTGAGACGATTTTTTTTTTGAACGTTCGTAGTTACGCCCCCTGAGGGTTTTGGAAATTATACGAGTCATTCCAAGATGCTGGGAATGGGTTCAACAACTTTGGTCACAGGGTATGTGAACATGCTAATTGTCCCAAGACTGGTCTTGTTACTTACCCAAGCCTAAGTATGTGGCATTCTCCCCTTGGGGGAGATACCTAAACAATAAAATGGGTAGTTTATTATTATTTAGGCATCCCCGAAGGAGAAATCTTATTATGATTATTATTAAAGATTCGTCAGTATTCTCCCGGCCCGGGCCTTTTCCAAGTGGTGGCCCGGCCTTGGCTCCCTGTGTAGGGAGTGTCTGAGACCTAAGTCACCCATGGGAGGAGGCACAAGTACCCCCTCATCTTTGGGACCAACTGTCCCCAGGCCTAGCCACATTCCCCGCCCTCACGGGGCTCGTAGGGAGAAGCTAAGCCTTTCTGGTCTGCCATCCCCGCCCCAAGGGGGCTAATGGGAATGACAGTCTTGTGAGCTGCAAGCTCTGGCTCAGGCACCTACCCTGCCCTAGAAAAGCTGGGCATGGTGTCGATGGAGAATTTTTTTTTATGGAGAATTCTTAACCGATTCCCTGATTTTAGTCTTTTTTTCCCCCTCCAACGTTTTACAAAACGTCATATTTAACAGTAAACATATAAAATCCCTGGTTATGCAGAGCATAACATGTGATTTATTTATTTCAAGAAAAAAATATTAAATGCAAAATATACAGAAATTCTAAACTACTACTACAGTGCATAGATGGAGAAGACCGAAGTATAACTGTGACTTACTCAATATAGTATAGGATGCCTTCTGGGGTTACGCCACGCTCCCAGCCTTTGGGAAGGTCTGAAACAGAAAATGGCACACGGTTATCAGGGCGAACTAAAGGAATAATACTAAAACAATGATAGGTATTTTATCAAATCACTTCCCATGGGTTCAAACCCTCACCCGTTCCGTGATTTGTTTGCATTCGTGTTATTACGATTTCGTAAGTTATTTTAATTATGAGGGAGTTGAACAGTAAAAAAAAAATTTTTTTTATTCAGGTTCTGGACAAAATTATAAAGTTCAAATGATTACGATTGGCGTATACTGTATAGCAACCTATGTTTAAATTAACCGAGGATAACCCAGTAGTGTCAAACACTGACTTATTAACACTGTGCTGAATGAATATTAGTTATATGGATATAAATTAAGACTGTATATATTCTGATGATTATCTCTCTTGACGTGTGTGCACCGAGAACAACAATGCATATATTCGTAGAAGGGGTGCATATCTCAGTATATATACGTTCAGAGTTTGCAGTAATACAACACAGGTGTTCGTGGCTTGATTGGTAGCGTCCTCAGCTCACAGACTGAGGGTTTCAGGATCGATCCCTGGCACGGGTACCTGGAGGTTATTCCGGGGATCAACGCCCCCGCGGCCCGGTCCATGACCAGGCCTCCCGATGGATCAGGGCCTGATCAACTAGGCTGTTACTGCTGGCCGCACGCAGTCCAACGTACGAGCCACAGCCCGGCTGATCCGGCACTGACTTTAGGTATCTGTCCAGCTCTCTCTTGAAGGCAGCCAGGGGTTTATTGGCAATTCCCCTAATGCTTGATGGGAGGCTGTTGAACAGTTTTGGGCCCCGGACACTTATGGTGTTTTCTCTTAGTGTACCAATGGCGCCCTTACTTTTTATTGGCGGCATTTTGCATCGCCTGCCCAGTCTTTTACTTTCGTAGGGAGTGATTTCTGTGTGCAGATTTGGGACCATTCCTTCCAAGATTTTCCAAGTGTAGATTATGATATATCTCTCCCTCCTGTGTTCCAACGAGTACAAGTCAAGTGCTTCCAAGCGTTCCCAGTAGTTAAGGTGCTTGACAGAACTTATACGTGCAGTAAAGGATCTCTGTACACTCTCTAGATCTGCGATTTCACCTGCTTTGTATGGAGATGTTAATGTACAGCAGTATTCCAGCCTAGAGAGAACAAGTGAGGGAAACGTTGAGCATGTTTCTTTACACCTGCTGCCCCTCTTTACCTAGGAGTAAGTAGGTACCTGGGTATTAGCCGATTGTTGTGGATACAATCCTGATGGAGGAGATTTAAGGACCCCGATGGAAATAAGAGAGTCCCCGATGACGTATTGACATTCTTGGGTGGCTAACCCTCAGGGTTAAAAATCCGAACAAAATATTATCTAGGTCCATATATTGGATTAATGTAGTCCTGATTAGTGATGAGGTGACATGGAGCCTTAATTAAACTCAATAGTCGATAGGCATAAAGCCCAATTAACAATTGTTAAATGTATTAGTATTTATTTTAAATAATATAAATGTATCAGTGACATGAAAATCAGTTGCATGAATTTATAAGTTACAGTTACACAGTGATTTATATTCGTCTAACTCTATTAGTAGTAGAGTAAAAAAAAAAGAGTATTATTCTTGACTGGTGGTGAGCTGGTCACCTGCAACCTTAATGGGCCGCTGAACAGTTGATAGGCTTTGAAAGAAATTAACGAATAACAAGCCGATACAAATGAGTGAATGAGTGAATAATTAATATATATATATATATATAATATATATATATATATATATATATATATATATATATATATATATATATATATATATATATAGATGTCGTGCCGAATAGACAGAACTTGCCATCTTGGCTTAAATAGCAACGCTCATCTTGCCATACCTGGAGTTTACCGGGAGAGAGTTCCGGGGGTCAACGCCCCCGCGGCCCGGTCTGTGACCAGGCCTCCTGGTGGATCAGAGCCTGATCAACCAGGCTGTTGCTGCTGGCTGCACGCAAACCAACGTACGAGCCACAGCCCGGCTGGTCAGGAACCGACTTTAGGTGCTTGTCCAGTGCCAGCTTGAAGACTGCCAGGGGTCTGTTGGTAATCCCCCTTATGTGTGCTGGGAGGCAGTTGAACAGTCTCGGGCCCCTGACACTTATTGTATGGTCTCTTAACGTGCTAGTGACACCCCTGCTTTTCATTGGGGGGATGTTGCATCGTCTGCCAAGTCTTTTGCTTTCGTAGTGAGTAAGACAAGTGAAAATTTGTGTATGCAATAATTTCGCCAAAATCATTCTGAACCTAACGAAAAAAATGTATTTAATTGTGTTTGTTTAGTACTAAATTATTGTAAACGTATTTAAAATATATTTAGTTGGGTTAGGCTAAAATAAATTGTTCTTGTTATAATAAGGTTAGGTAAGTTTTCTAAGTTCCTTTTGGTGCAAAATTATAAATTTTTACATCAACATTAACGAAAAAAATATATCTTTAAAAATATAAGAGAAAATTTTAGAAAGGACTTAATTTTAAATGAGTTCTTGCTAATTGACCAGTTTTACATATTCGGCACATTATATATATTATATATATATATATATATATATATATATATATATATATATATATATATATATATATATTATATATATATTATAAATGTACACTGTGAGGTGTACATTTCTTGGTGTAGATACACTATACTCAGAGAGTTTGTTTTAACCCCTCCTTAGGGATTCAAGCATTCACAACCCCTTAATTAATGACCAGTTATAGTCATCGATAGACTCTAAGGCCAATTAGCCAACCATTATATTAACTTATTTTCACAATGTCTTGAATGCACTAGAAGACAAACAACATGCAGGTGGAGTACATAATCTTTTTAAAATCGTCGATAGGTGCGATAGTATAATAGTGTACAAAATATATGCAAAAAGAGTAATTGGAAAATCGAGCAATGGGTTTTAAAATTTCTAACAAACAAAACACAAAGAGTAATACTAAACAGTTAAGTCAGGGGCGGCTACGGTGAAAAAATCTCTTTCCCAAGGCATAATACCCCCCCCCCCCCTTCCTTTTCCTCATTCTTTTATTTGATATAGAAAGTAATTTAAATCATAGCACTGTATCATCCTTTGCAGACGTTACCAGAAATAAAATGAAGGACACTGCAAATCTCCAAGCGGATATACATAAAGTCTTTCAGTGGGCTACAAAAAAAAATTATGCTTAATGACGACAGGAAATAAAAATTTGAACGGAGTATATTAAAAATGAATCCTAGCCACTTAATAAAGGGAAAAAACTAACACGGACTTAAAAGTGATGTCAGAGTATCTCACGTTCAAGTATCACAACAATGGTATCACATCCGCGAGGAAGTTGATAGGATGGACAACTAGAGCCTTCATTAAGACACATGTGGAACAGTTTTTTTTTATTTAAAACATTATAAATTACAAGGTGGTATAAAATATTAAATAACACCACAATACAGGATCTGAACAAAATTACTAAGAATCATATCACAAGTGCAGGAGAAAAATTTTGAAGACCCAATACAAAATAGGAATGTGTAACAAACACGCAAAATACACAACATTCACTGACACACATTATACAAAATGATAGAATATCTGACACACAAAACTGTTGGAGGCCCCCCCATGAAAACCCATCTATAAATACATCCACATCATTCGCACACTTAATGATCACAGCAGTGATCAAACATTAATTTATGCAAAGTTTATATATACATGCAACTGGTTATGAGATTTTACTTAAACTCTGGTAATTATTCTAAAACATGACTCCATAACAAAAATAAGCATTATACAAATTACATGATCATATAAATCAACAACTGCAAAATTTATACAGCATATGTATAATGTTGGAACCTTTTGATCACAGACGAATTACTCACAGCAGATTCCACCCCATACAAAATAGGAATGTGTAACAAACACTCAAAATATATACACACCATTCACTGACACACATTATACAAAACAATAAAATATCTGACTCATACACACAAAACTGTTGGGGGGACCCCCCTTAAAACCTATCTATAAATACACTCACATCATTCGCACACTTAGTGATCACAGCAGTGATCAAACAAATTTATGTAACTTTATATATACATGCAACAGTTTATGAGATTTTACTTAAGAACAAACTCTGGTAATTATTCGAAAACATTACTCCATAACAAAAATAAGCATTACACAAATTACATAATCATATAAATCATCAACTGCAAAATTTTTACAGCATATGTTGCATCAGCAAAGACACTTAATATCATTACAAACGTGATGGAAAACAAACTATGTAAATACATATATACAAACCATCTAAGAGGAATTAAATTCCCTACAAAATTACAATAAATACTACGAAGATACGTACCAGAAAAATTATCTTTGCAAAAACTGGTAGACCAACATGGACAGTGACTTCTATAACTCCCTTTTAATCACAAGGCCCTAATTTATACAAATCCTGGGCTTATCAAAACCTTTCACACAAAGCTTACATGTCAACACAGCACCACACATTACATACCTTCCCGACCCTCACATGTGTAATTAGCTCGCCAAATGAATAAGGCCATTGACCGTAATTTTGCAGTAGGTCTCTCGAAAACGTGCCCTCCACTGTCCCCTGTAAATAAGTTTGTTCCTGCAAACCGTTCTATATATGCCTGCCACAATTGCCCTATTTCTAATCCCCCCCCCGTGTCCCTCATCCCCCAGGAAATACACAGAAAATCCGCCACTACATACATAATCGCCCTTTTCACTTCTATTGAGACCCCGCGTACTTCTAATGTTAAGGCTCGCAGGGTCTACATTACCCCCACCCATCAACCTAAAAACCCTCCCTAACCACACCCTTACCTCCCTCAACTCTTCACAGAAATAAACCGCATGAAAAGCTGTTTCCTGTTCTCCACAGTGATCGCAGGTCTGTTCCCTCACCAATCCCACTGAACACAAAACAGCTTTCGATGCTAAT